TTCCTAAACTTTATTTATTTTTTTTTTTTTTTTTTTTTTTTTAAAAAAAAAAAAAATTATGTCGACGTCGATGGAATTATCGAATATATTATTTAAAGAATATATTAAAATTCTCGAATCTGGAGAATTCTCTGATATAGAAATATTAGTTGGAAAAGAACCAAACACTAAAATCTTTCGTTTACATACTTTCGTATTAAAAGTATGTTCACCATATTTTCGTATCGCATTAACGAATAGTAATTGGGTAAAAATTGAAAATAATATTATCAAATTTAAAAAACCGAATATTTCCGTTAAAGTATTCGAAATTATTACCAGGTAAGGCATAAGAAGAAAGCGTATTGAAAAATTTATCATATATTAGAAAGAATAATCTTATATTTACGATATATTGCTTTTTTTATCTTTTAGATATATATACGGCGGTGAACTTAAACTTGTGAATGATAATGTTAAGACGAATGTTGAACTCATGATTGCGGCGGATGAATTGTGTCTTGATGAATTATGTACATATGCCGAAGATTTTTTACTCAATAATAGAGAATCATTAAAATCCAATTTAGTACTTTTATTACATGTAACAACCGAATTTGATCAATTTACGAGAATATCACAATTTTATAAAGAAACTTATCGACAGAATCCTTCATTAATTTTCAAAGCAAAAGATTTTACTGATATTAAACGAGAATTTCTTCTTGAACTTTTAATTAAAAATAATCATTCACTAAAACCAATTGAAATTTGGGATAAACTTTCAGCATGGGTTATTGTTCAATCAGATGAATTATCATCAAATATTACAAATTGGACGGATGATAATGTAAAAACATTTGGTAAAATAGTTAATCCATTTCTTTCTTACGTTAATTTCGATAAAATAAGTCGTGAGGATTTTTTTCAAAAAATCAAACCATTCAAAAATATTTTTGATGATAAATTTTATATTAAAATTCTTGAATCTTGTTGTTTTAATGATTTTTAATAATAGAGTAATTTATATTATTTATATATTATTTATATAAAAAAAATTATATATATACAGATATATATGTATATATATATTTTTAGCGTTATTTAGCGTACGTTATGTAATTAGTACATAAATTTCTAAATAAATACCTGTCTGTATATACATATTTTTATAAATGAAAAATTAAAGTTAAGGTTAAATTAAAAAATGGCAACATACAGTATATATAACAGTCTTATCTTTCCATCTTTTTATAGTCGGGATATTTTTTCCGATATTGTTTCCACTTTAGGTCAAAGTAATTCCGACCTAAATTTATAAATTTTTGGGTATAAAAATTATTCTTTTTTTCGGCGTGGGTATCGGTAAAATTCGGATTCGTCTAGTTTTAACAATTCCGGAAAATTTTTAAGTGAATATCATTGACATATATATGAACAAAAAAATAAATATTTACGCACCGCTCATTGTTTTATTTTTTTTTTTTCTTTCATTTTTT